ATAGTGGGAGTTTAGGGACCATGACTATTGTAGTCAAAGGAGAAGTCAAATGAAGAAGATTAAATTAACTCCAAGGGAACAAACTTTCTTTATGAAAGGATGGACATTGGAAGGGGTATTTGCAAGAAATGTCTTGCAAGTGTCAAGAACACACCTTTCGAAGATGTTGTAAATTGTTCTTGAAAAGTTCAAAACAGTTGGTTCTTCTACTTGAATGCTTGATTCCGTATTAGTAACTATGTTTTACAATCGTTGTAAAAGTGTGACTAATAAGAAGTAGAAGATATATGAGAGAAGAAAAAGGTGCTTCACATTCGGAACGTGAATAAAATAAAGATCTCTGCGAAAGCAGATAGTACTTACTTCCTCATATGAACTACCAAAGAAATTGGAAAAACCAAAGATTGTCTTTACATTCCAATTTTAAGGAACTAAATTCCGTCACTATGTGAAATGGATAAATGTTTTGTTTGACAAAACATTGTTCTTTATTAATCAATGATTGGATTATGGTAATCTAATTGATTGTCTCTGTAGTAGAGATAATATGGTGGTGTTAACTGTTTAGAATATAATGATGCTTAAAACCCAAAAGGTTGCAAGGTAGTGACTAATCCCAACTAAGTTGTGATACCTCTAAAACATAAGTTACGAGTTGGTGATAGATGGATGCTTTGGATCGTTAGATCCGGATCCAATACCTTCTTGTTAAAATTGTATAGAGGCGAAATGTTTGAATCTTTATTCTTTTGGAAAGAAGAAAGAATCACAAAGTTGTTGAGGTTAATTCACTTAGATGTTAGTGGCACTTGTCCACAACATAATACTACTCATGTTGGATGACATTCACCGAAGATCACTCTCGGTTGGACTATAGTTTATTTTGAATAAACACAAGTCCGAATACTTTGCAAAAGGTTTCAAAGAATTCAAGTAATGTAAGTTGATGAGTAAGACATCTAAAGTATTTACCTCCTTAGATTTGATCCAAGGAAAGGTAACACTTTAGATGAGTTTCCTTGAAAGATATCAAGGAAAATAGCATCATAAGATAATGAATTTCTACATAAGGAGAAGAACGAACTTAAATAAGATTTAGTTCGTTAGATGTTATCTATTACCCACATATAGGATATATACTTCTAAAACAATATGATTGTCAATTAGAAGATCTTCCAAATTTTTCATGACTCCATAAGATGTAGTTGGAAAGAAAGACAAATCTCAAGCATGTTAAGATTTGGGGTTGTGTGCTAATAAGCAATATTTGTTTGATAACAATCTTGTGGGATATCCTTAAATTAACTTTTGGATATCACTTCTATAAATCAACTAACAAATGTTGTTTTGTTGGGTAGTTCATTGTAATCCTACAATGTGATTTGCCTAAGAGCAAATGAACGAGAGATAGAACTCAAAGAATGGGTTCTTTGAGAGACAAGAAAGTAATCAACAAATATAAACAACCTAATTCCTATACCAAAAGCTCCAAGGTAGTCGAGAAGGATTTATAAACCGTCTCAGTTGAATGTTTGAACTTTATGACTATGTCATAGAGTTACACCTCTTAATTCGAAAGAAATAAGAATGAAAATCCTTATGACTACATTGAGTGTATATATATGATATATACTTAAGGAAATGGTAAAGTACCATTTGACCCGAAATAATGAAACCTTTATAAGCTAATTGGTAGCTTAAGGTGACTACAATCAAAGAGAATGGTTGACTTTGAAGAGACCATCTTTGAGATAGTCTTGGTTTCAATTAATTCGAAGATTGCTAGCTACAACTAAATGGTGTTTCAATGTTTGGACATAATATGGGTTTCCGAAACCATTATTAAGATAGTCTTAATAATATATGTCTAAAACTATGAATCACAAGACATGTAAGTTGTAGAGATCCATCCATCATGAATCTTAGCAAGCTAGTGGGAACTATAAGCGTCTTATGAGAGAAAGGTCAAACGTTTGATTTCTCATAAAGATGTAAATGAATCTTTTGTTTACTAGGTTTACAAAAGATTAGTGGGAGTTAATCATATTCCTAAATTTGTATATATATATATATAAATATATATGTGATATATATGAATGTATATATGATATATTAATTTTGGAAATGAAAAGAATATTTCTTCGTTAAAGTTATGACTTTAAACATTATATGAAGATAGAATGTATATGGGAGATATAGTCTATATACATGGGATGGAAATCTATAATGATATATTTCATGATATAATTGGATTATATTAATCCCTAATAATAGACAATGGATGCTAGGAAGTTTCTCATATGATGATAAACTTCAATTAGAAGGACAACTCTAGTGAGACTAAAAAGTTGCTCTTCTCAAAGAGAACGTACTCTTTGACTCCCAAAGAAATAATGCGTAAATAGAATCCTTTATGCATACGCACAAATGTGATTTATGTATTTCATATTGTATGAAAAACATTGATATGAGTTGTACCTAGAACGGTACAAGACGATATCAGTGCAAGCCCAGGATCAGAACCATGGCAACTGTCAAGTGAGTCCTTAAGTATTTAAGAAATACTAAAGGATAGATTCCTCAAAGAATGAGGAAGAATTAGAGTAACGTAAAGGAAGTGTAAATGTATTAGATTATGAATCTAATCCATCATTGGATGTTTCTTCATTATGAATGAAGAGATAAACGGATCTCTTTATTATGACTAAAGAGATATTTGGATGGAAACATTAAAGTAATGACTTTAGTGTGTTCCATTATGAATGCAAAATATATTGCCATATAGAAGTTTACAACAATGTTGTTTGGATGAGAAAGTTCATTTATGAACTCTCTATTCGGTTCCAACCAGAAAGTGTATGACACTAATGGGGCGATAGCTCAAGCCAGGGAATCAAGGTCTCATCAAGGTCCGAACTCAAATGAGAGACTGAACCGCATGATTAAGAATCATGTATAATGGTGACGTCGTTATTCTCAAGGTTGCTTCTATGGATAACATATAGATATCCATTGCCTAGGCCTACTACTCAGCCATTTATGAAATGACTACAGAAGAGGTATCATTAATGATGAACAAGCTGATTGGCTCTAGTGCAAGTGGGAGATTGTTGGAAATGTGCCCTAAAGCCAATCATATGATGATACTTTACGGACATTTTACATGTTAAACTAATCTAGTTTAAATATAACGGGCAAATATTATTGTTTGAGCCGTCTCATATAAATGTTATATGCTTAAACGATAAAGTCCAAGGAATATGTGATTGGGAGAATGCAATCTAATGAAGTTAGATTCATGAGACCATTCTTTCGTAGACACATCCTAAATGTTCCTGATCATAGGATTGTCAATTGGGCATTGACGGTCCGTCAAGATCGGTACGTGCTATGTCTTCTCTTAGGGAGAGTGACTAGTCTCGAGTCATTGGTGTGTGTGACATCAAGACAAGTACGTAGGTGCTCAGTAGAGAATGAGTTCACTGAACGCGATCAACGAAGAGTTCTTATACTCATGTCACATGAGAACTCATGGTTGGGATAATGCAAAGTAGTCCTTTGACCTGAGGCATCACAGTTGTCTTGTGGTTAAGTACTTGATCTTTGATTATGTCAAACGTCATTCCATTGGAGTGTCCACGGCATCGTTGGGGTTAAGCCACTTAGCCATGGAGGCAAGTGAATGCGCAACAAGGGATCTCTAACCTTCAAACCGTTTGAGGGAGAATACTCTATGATATGATTTAGAACCTCTGGCCAGAGTATGAATGAGATTTAGGAATGCGTTCCAAATCACATTCAAGGTAATCATATAAGCACACGAATCACATTGGATAGTAGACATGAATAAATAAACTATCAAACCAAACAATGTGGTCAAGAGTATTAGATTAGAGAAAGACCGTATTGCATTTGTAATCCTAAACTGAATAGGTTCTCCACCTCTTCTGATTAGCTTGGGTAACCATGATATGCTGCTAGGTGTCACTCATGGTTTGTGGAAGCCCTAAACGTGTATAATCACTAAAGGGAGAATTGAAAGTAAGTTTCAATTCACAATCGATTTGAAAGAGTTTGAATCGCCCACTGCCTCGCTAAAAGGAACCTAATGGATCGTACACCGTGTAAGGTGGAGATTGAAGAAACAATGGAGATGAGTAAGAATAATTAAATGGTTTAATTATTTATGGCAAGGATTAATTAATATGTTAATTAATCAAACGAATAAGTTCGTTTAAAGACCTCGGGATAGTTTTGGACGTTTAGGGCCCAATGGGCTTCGAACGTCAAGCCCATTGACTTAAGTTGTATGACAACTTAATTCACAAAAGCCCAAAAGCCCAAACAACACCCTAAGGCCGGCCATATGGTTAAGGGTAGTGAACTTGGACTTATTTACAAGTTTGCCACTCAAATGAATAAAGGTATAAATATGACTTTATAGCCAAAATTCATTAAGGGTTTGTTTTGGAGAAAATTGGAGAGAACATGTCTCTCCATTTCTCTCTAAAGAGGCCGGCCCCTTGGAGGGTGCATCTAGCAATCCCACTACTCCAAGGTCACTCATTTCTTCTCCAATCTAACCTTGGTGAAGAGACTTAGAGGTTCTCAATTTTGGGAACTTGGAGAAACCTATTCTTCCATCCAAATCCATAGATTTAAGATGCAAGGAATGAAGGCCCTCTCTTTGGGTGATTAGCCTTTGCTTATGCAAAGAGGAATCTACAAAGGTATAAATTTCAACTCACTTTGTTTTGAGTTGATTCTTGGTTCACCAATCTACTAGGCTTTGAATTTCTTGGTTAATGTTTTGTTTTTAAGTGCATGCAAGCATGATTCCGCCTTTAATTGTTAATTGCATGCTTATTGATTTTGCTTAAATGAACATGTTTTCACAAAATAATCCTTCAATTGGGAAACAAGAGTTGGTGGCTAATGTCATAAATAAAGCTAGGAAATTAACCAACTACATTTACAATCATGGTTGGCTATTGGCTCAGATGAAGATCTTTTGTCAAGGAGATTTGGTCCAACCCGGTGCAACTCGGTTTGCAACAAACTACATCACTATCAATAACATCTTAAATAAGAAAGCTGGGCTGAAGCAACTTTTTACAAGTGAGGAATGGTATAATAGTCGATTCAGTGAATCAGAAGAAGGGAAGATAATTGAAAGTCGAGTCCTTGATCATAGATTATGGGATGCCATGGAAGGAGTGCAATCCATCTATGAGCCTTTGTATAGCATCATGCGAATTGTTGACACAGAGGTAATTCCTACAATGCCTATCTTATATGATATGTTTCACATAATGAAAGAGAAGATTTCTAAGTTGAAGGGAAAAAAATGGATTCTCAAAATCATCAATCACAGATGGGATGTCACATTATCTCGTCCATTACATCAAGCTGGTATGTTTTAATCTCTTAGTAAAAATGTGCATCAATTTTTAAATTTATACAACGGGCATTAACCAATCTTCATATTTGTAGCCCACTACTTGAACCCTAGATATCAATATGAAATAGGGGTTGGCCACAATAAAGAGTTACTTTCAGAACTTCAACGCGTATTTGAAAGGTTGAATCCAACTGGGGATAAAGGTTTGCAAGCATTTGGGGTCGAGGTAAGTGAACACAAAACAATGTCTTCCTCATTAAGTTTAGTTTTATGCATACTGAACACAAAACATTGTGAATCCAGGTAATTAATTTTAGAGACTGTAGAAAGACATTTCACACTGAGATGGCCGTCAAATCAAGAAAATCGATCCCCCCAGCAGAATGGTGGAATCTTCATGTTGATTCTGCCCCGAACTTGCAAAAAATTGCTATGCGTATATTGTCACAGACAATATCATCATTGGCATGTGAGCGAAATTGGAGTACATTTGCTCTTATTCACACGAAACAAAGGAACCGTCTCGCATATACTAGGCTGGAAAAGATTGTCTTTTGCTATTATAATATGAAACTTAAGCTACGTGATGAAGAGGCCGAAATGAACAAGGTTGCTGAAAATGACTACATAGACCTTCTTGACATTGCAGGGCAACCATCTGATGATGATAATAATCCAATTCAATAATGGATTATGACAGCTCACTTGGATGATGAACAAGGCAACCCTGATGCTGTTATAGCACAACATGTTGCCCAAGAAGGAGTTGATGTTGATAGAGTCATTTCCGAAGATGTTAGGAGTGGAGATACTTCATCATTTGAAAGGGATATGCTTGGCACTCGGCAAGGTCAAAGATGTCCCTTGAGAGACGATGTCAGTACTAGTAGAAAGGAAAGTTCATCAATTCGTTAGATAATGATGGAGGAAATAATGCTGGATCAGGAGGTAATGAAGAAGGAAGACGATATAGCCCATTTACTATCGAGGCTGATTTTACTCATGCCACCCAAGATGAGGATCATGGATGCAGAGAAGCTGGACCAAGCATTGGCGCAATTGGGAAGCAATACTCAGGGAAAAGAAGCCAACCAATCAATCCATTTGAAGATGACATGGCGATCAGTTTTGAATCTATGAGCATAGGAACTAGACCTAGTACTAACTCAAATGAATCTTATGATGGCTATGGGTATGTCATGTCTGATTATAGTGGAACTAGTTATGGAGCTCAAGATGATGAAACAGACTATGGACCTACTAGTTGGGTTAATCCTAACTATCTTATGTATGGGAGGACAGTAGGGAGCTCAAGAGAGACATATGTGCACAATGTTCAAACATGGCTTACAAACTGCTCGGGTTATATGACTTGGTATGACTATTGTATGAATCTAGATCGTTGTTCCTCATTGTTTGAACCTCATAGGAGCTCTTCATTTATGTAGTTGGACACTTATCTAAATTGTAATCTAATGTTTAAACAAACTATGGATTTATGCATGGTTTATTCATTCTAATAAACATTTTATTAGAAAACTTTTCGTTAACACGCATTACATACCACTTATATTTCATCATATGTATATCTTATTATTAGTAAATTTTGAATTTTATTTGTTCAATAAATTCATTGATAATGTACATAACATCTATGAAAGTTTTAGACCAAAATTATGTGTTTCAATGCTTATATTTGTCATTTTTTTTTATTTTTTCCCGATACCTAAAACGATAACGATATATCCCCCGAAATATCAGTAAATTGGAGGCCCGATATTATCTGCACGGCCGATATTTTAATCCTTGACTACACGATTCAAAATTTAAACTTATTTAACGATGATCAATAGAGTGATGAGAAAAAATATTCTCCATAAATAGTTCCACAATTCAATAGTGAGAACTCTTGTTGGGTAATAAATTTTTTTTGTTAATGTGACGGTTGTATTGTCATGCGGTGTTATATTTAGGTATTATAGTATGGTGCATTGCATATGGTTGATACATTAAGGAGAGACTTAGGGTACAATTATATATGGTTGATACATTAAGGGGGGACTTAGGGTATAGTTTTAGTAGAAAAATACATGCGTTAAAATAGAGTATGACTACAATGATACGTGCTACTTAATAGTACGAGTTTTATGTAAAATATAATCCTTGCAAAAAAATTATTAGATCTCTATGCGTACAAAATTTAACTATTGATTGATTTTTAGAACCACTCACTGGTACGTATTCTAAAAAAAGTGGTTATCAATAATAACTTAGTAATATAAAATAACGATATACCGGCGACGTTTTAAAAATCTTTCCCTAAATTAAACATGTCTTCAAATATGAACCTCTGCATTTGGAATTTGGAGGGCTGAGCCCAGCAAGCAAAACAAACTATTGAGGGATCACCCTCGGGCTAGGTCTCAAGCAATATCAGAACCACAGAACTAGGAGGAAGAGTCCACACTCCGTACAACCCCTAACTCAAAGAAAGAAAAAGAAACAAAAAAAAAAAACCCATATATATGCAGCCAAGACCACGAGCAAAAATGGAGTGATTTGTTTCATGATGTGCTCTGAATATTTATCACTTCCTCTTTTCACGACAGTATCAAAGTCTAAATAATTTTACTTTAAAGAAAGGCAGCTGCAACTGCAGGGTTTTCAATCTTCCATGCGCATGCATGCATACCCTAATCCCTAAACTAAATATGTTGCCCTTTACCAGAATCTTAGCATCTAACATCGACCGCTTCTCACTCGCAACTTCTCAAAGTAATAAAGTTCCTAGCTCTAGGCTCCCAAACTTGCTGTGAATATGGTTCAAGTCACAACCTATTGGACATAGATTATATTCCAAAGTAGATCCATTGTCATCAAACCGCCATGTGATTTAACTAATCTATTACGTTATAACACATTTTTTTATTTGTTATATGAGACCCTAAAATATTAATAAATCATGCACTCGTACCGTGGGAGATCCAAAAAAATTATTCAGGAGCTCATATGTAAAAATTCACAACATTTCTTAAACGTATAATAACCTTAAAAATTAAACCATACTTTCATCATTCATAATTTATAGAACAAATAACAATAAAAGTTACAATTGTCCATGATGCATTTTCATATTTTGAAAATCCTGCATTATAGCTTCATTATCAATGGAAGACAAAACACTGTTCTCAATATAAACAAGCATGCTATCACTCATCCATTGATCTTCCATTCAAGACTCTCTGCACTGAAGCAGTAGCAACCAGTAGAACCAAAGACAATGTAATTAGCAACTACACATGATTATATACTATATTCCTACTCGTCTCTAGTATTTTTTTTGCCAGACTACCAATTTATTTCAATTGAGAAAATTCACTACTCGAACGCATATAAAAAATATAACGTCCAAGTTGATCTTGAAGTGCCAAGAGTTGAAACATAGAAAATTCATTTGGATAAAATTGAGCAAAATGAATTATAGCTTTTGTTCATCAAAAGTCAAGAATGAAGCATTCAGGTTTGCTAAGCATGCGAGCCTGCTCTTTTTTTTTTTTTAAGCTGTTGTTTGTCTATTTTTTCCTTATGAAATAATCCGTTCCAAAACTACGTCGTTTTTTCCAGGTAATATTTAAATAATAATAATAATAATAATAATAATAATAAGAAGGGTAATTCCTCTTCGAGACATTTTATCAAGTCGTTAGAGGGCATGTATAAAGGACAACTCAAACCTTCAAAGGGACAGCATCCAAATCGTCTACGAAGATCCACGGGAATTCAAAGGGTCACCTTTGCCCCTTCATGCATCCGTCCCTGCTCGTACATGTTATAACACATGAATTAATAAATCACGTTGCGGTATGATCGAGATCAATTATATATCAATATTTTAAAGTTCCCATATGTAAACACTTTCTTTTAGGCTTTAGCCAAGATGAATAAATAAGTGAAAAATAAGGACATGGACGGCTAGCAAAAGTCCCCTTTTATCCTGAAATGAGTCATCATATCGCAGAATTGTGCAGTATAGGAATGTTGTAGGACAGTTGCCATGCAAAAACGGACTTTGTTGCCTGTTGCAGTCAACTACATAGAGTATCAGGTACTTTGTGCCTTATCAAAAAAGGTACCAATACAGATTTTCTACATACAAGAATTTTAAAAATGATAGAGGCCGTGCAAATCCAGGAACTTAATTTATTCGTTCTAGTAAATCTTTTTTTGTTTTTGTTTTTGTTTTTGTTTTTGTTTTGTTCTAGAACTATATCAATGGCTGCATTATATTATATATGGTCTGAAAAATCACAACAGTTTGGTTAGCATATATATAAGCTTCCAAGGTTCCAAGTGGGGTTTGACGATATACACAAAGTTTTAAACTGTTCACAACATGTACAAAACTAGGAGAATGATAGACTTATATCAAGATTTTATTTACATGACATAGATTTATTCAATCAAAACTTTGTTGCATATAAGTTATTCTCCAAAACTCCGTCCCACCCTAAATAGCTCATCCACCTTAGTTTTGGTGGCTACGTCCGTGCGGCTCCAAAGATATATGAAATCACAAGGCTTTTGGCAGTATCAAAATTATATATATACATTAGTCAAGGAAAGTTACAATATTTGATGTAATTATATAAATGGAGACTTTGGATGCGGTCCTTAGTCATGAATATTCTTTGATTGAAACCTTATTAGTTTTTAATTTTTGATTGAGATTCCTGAAATTAATGTGATAATTTATTTCTATGTACGTTACTATTTTTTTAAATTAAAAATTAAAAATTTTAGTTGTTTATATAAATGAGATTTTAAATAAAAAAACCATAATTTGTGGGATTAAAAATATTAAAATATAATCTACTATTGTGTGTGTGTGTGTGTAAACATGGGTACATTCATCAAAATTAACCAAAAAAATCAAAACATGGGTACATTCTTCAAAATCACAAAAAAAAAAAGATATTAGGCTTAATAACATTAGTAAATTTCTTCGGTTAAACTTGACATAGATACATTTTAAAACCAAAGAAAAAAGAATGTACCCATATAAGTTTAAAAATGGATTAGAAAAAAATTGAATAGATTTTATATTAAAAAAGGGGTACATTTTACATATAACAAATTTTTATATTTAAGAATGAGTACATTTTAAGATTAAAAAGTTTTACATGAATGGGTACATATAATTAGAATGGGTAAATTTAGCAAAATAAAAAGTACAAATAAAAAAATATATGGGTACAAATACAAATAAGCTTTAAAAAATATGGGCACAAAAAGAAATTAATATATGAGTACAAATTAAAATTGAAAAGAAATTGGTACAAATTAAAAAAAACATTACAAATTAAAAATGGATACAAACTAAAACTAAAAATATATGATAAAAAATTTAGTCATAAATATAAATATACTAATTGTAACATTTTTAACATTAAATGAATATATTTAGAAATAAAAAATATTTTATTATTGAAATAATTAATGATTTAATAATACCAAGGACCTTGATCAAAAATTGAAAATGAATAGGATTTTAATCAATGGAGTAGTAAAAGAAAGGATGAGAACCTAATTTTTACTTATATAAATTTCCTAGCAAAGGGCTCGCTTAAGATGTTGATGAGAAGGGGCATTTATTTTTTTTGAGAATATTGTTGCCATGTTGCCTAATG